TCGACATAGCGTAGGCGTAGATAGGAAAATAACGAGCCGTCATGATCGAATGAGTCTTACGAAGAGTCCGTTTGCAATCACGAGAAGTCGACATCGCGGGAGGATGTTGATTCGCATGTAAAGTGAAAATCAATCGAACCGGAGGGCAGGATTGCAGCATTGCGAGCCAAGGGCTGATTCGCACATAGGTTCGCGCTGATATGCAAGCTCAGAGGCGCCAATGTGCCATGTCAGGGCAAGTAAGACAATGTCTCTGTCTGAATCTCTGAAAGCCGTTTGCTGTTTTGTTGTGTTGACTGTTAGTGCTGTTTTTTTTGCATTGTCTGCACTGCGGAGCTCTCTTATTGACTTGTGCTTGTTGTGCAATGCTATTTTATGCTAAGTAGGATGTCCATCTGGAGGTGATATCGCACTGTATGGACCCTGAGTTGAAAGGCAAGGCAGATGCACGGGCCAATCAGGCACACGTTTGAATTGACATACATCACCCCAGCATAGCTCCAATTGCCCTTGCAGCTGGTGCCGCAGCAAGCTCCGGGCTGGTCTCAGCGCGTTTATTCTACTGGACGCGCATCCAATGCCCCCCTAGAATGACATCTAAACACAACGTCAACATCCACACCACATCACGGGGAGCTTCTCCATAGGCCCGCACCCAACGACAACACAACATCGAATATGCTTATATCTTAACGAAGGGCGCTTGCAACAATGTCGGACCTAGGAGTTGGACAGACGGTGCGTCTGTCAGATGGTCGGACCGGCATCGTGCGCTTCGTCGGCACCACCCACTTCGCTAGCGGTGATTGGGTCGGCATCGAGCTCGAGGACGACAGCGGGAAGAACGATGGAAGCGTCCAGGGCGAACGCTATTTTGATTGTGGAATGGGCCATGGCATGTTCGTGCGGCCCACGACGTTGGCCATCATCGCCCAGGCCCCGGCGACTGCGAAGCCCGCAGCTCGCAGGCCTAGCCGGCCGAGCAGCTTCAATCCGGGCACCGGGCGGGCGGCGACGGATTCGGGATTGACTAAGAGGATGAGCCTGAACGCGCCGAGTCCGAGCCCGGGACCTAAGGGGTCTCGGCCGTCTTCGGGTATGCTCAGGGTAAGTGTCCGTCCCGTTGTATCGGCTTGGATCAAGGGACAGATGATTAACATGAAGCGACCAGTCTCCGACCAAGTCACCAACAAAACAGCTCGGATCAGCTACCTCGAGTGGCGCGCCATCACGAACTACTACCCCGTCGAATACTCGCACCTCGGCTGTGGGAACAAAGACGACGCGACCAGGCGCATCAAGCACGCGCACGTCCATGGGCCCTCCGCCGATACCTACCACGCGGACGCGGCAGCCGTCGACTTCTTCAGTATCGGGGAGGTCAACCGCCACAAGGCCAACCAGCGGCCGGCTCTCCATGACTGGGAGAACAGCCTCTTCTACCAGACGACCATCGGCAGACATGGGAGGTGGAAAGTCCACCGAGAGTGGGGATGATGCTACATCGCCATCCAAGGATATCGGCGACAACAGCCCCGTCCAAGCAAGGACAAAAGCCCTCGAGAAGCTGACATCAGGGTCAGCCGGCCCTGCAAGTACATCCGCAAGACCAGCGGCGACAACTACCGCCCGTTCTACAACAAACGCAGCCGCTGCCAACAAGGAAATCGAGGACCTCAAGGCCAAGTTGAAGGTCCTTGAACGAAAGAGATTAGAGGACAGGGAAAAACTGAAACAGCTGGAGCAAGTCCAAGGCGAGAGGGATAGATTCGAGTCCATCATTCAAAAGCTGCAAGCCAAGTATCAACCGCAGCAGAACGAGAACAATGAGCTGCGCAAACAGTTGAAGGAGGCGGAGACTAGGTTCGAGTCCATCGAGAACATCCAGATGGAGCACGAGACGGCTTTGGAGCTGGCAACACTGGATCGAGAGATGGCCGAGGAGACGGCAGAGGTTCTCAAGGTCGAGCTCGAGGCTTTGAAGCAAAAGTCGGAAGAACTGGAGCTCGAGGTGGAAATTCTCCGCGAGGAGAACGCAGAGTTCGGACAGGGCATGTCATCGGAAGAGCGTGCCAGCACTGGCTGGTTACAAATGGAGAGAACCAACGAGCGCCTTCGTGAGGCTCTTCTGCGACTTCGAGACTTGACGCAACAACAAGAGGAGGAGCTCAAGGACCAGATTAAGACCCTGGAGAGCGATTTGCAAGACTACACCGCTGTGCAAGAGCAATTTGAAGCAGCCAAGGAGAAGCTTGCCCAGTCTGAGGCGGCTGTCGAGGATCTCCGCCAGCAACTGGACACGGCGCTCGGCGCCGAAGACATGATCGAGGATCTAACCGAGCGCAACATGAGTATGTCTGAGCAGATCGAAGAGCTCAAGGCCGTGATCGAGGATCTCGAGAATCTTAAGGAGGTCAACGACGAGCTTGAAATCAACCACGTGCAAAACGAGAAGGAGATGCAGGAGGAACTCGACTTCAAGGACAGTGTCATTGCTGAGCAGGCTCGACGGGCAGGCGAGCAGGAGGAGGCCTTGGAGGATATGGAATATACTCTGTCCCGCTTCCGAGGTCTTGTGACCAGCCTTCAAAGCGATCTTGAGGACATGCGTGCATCGCACGCAGTGACTGAGACGGAGTCTGAACAGCTCAACAGCAAGTCCCGTGCCATGATGGACTTGAACATGAAGCTTCAGATATCTGCTTCCAAGGCCCAGGTCAAGACAATCGACCTCGAGCTGCGCAGGCTGGAGGCTCAGGAAGCCGAGCAGCATCTCGAGATCGTCAAGCTCTTCCTTCCCGATACCTACAAGGAGGACCAAGACTCTGTTCTCGCCCTGCTGCGCTTCAAGAGACTGGCTTTCAAGGCCGAGCTTCTGCAAGGCTTCATCAAGGAGCGTGTCAACGGTCAAACCCACCCCGGCCACGAAGACGACATCTTTGCTGCATGCGACGCCATTGACAAGCTCACATGGGTTGCCTCCATGTGCGAGCGCTTCACCAATGCCATCAGCCACTGTTCCATTGAGCAGTTCCAGCGATACCAGAATGCCTTGTTCGAGCTGGAGCCTGTGGAGCGTGCTCTCAATGGATGGATCGACGGTCTCCGCCGCGATGAGCTGAAGGAGAAGAAGTGCGCGGATGAACTCCAGCGCACCATTGCACTCATGTCGCATCTCGCCGAGGTCCATCTCACGAATGACTTGCCCGACTTTGCTGAGGATACGTACATGCAGACTCTGGTGATGCAGAGCCACCTCGACTCTGCCGCTACCACTTTCGCTACTTTGCGCGCTATGGTCGAACGAGTTGTGCCCGCGGAGTCTGACGAGGACGAGATGGCGCAGCACTTTAATAAGAAGGCCGAGCTTGTCGTCACCCAGACCCGCAGCGCCAAGGTAATTGCTGGCAAGGCTGTCAGAGCTCTCCAGGACCTCAAGGCCAGGTCTCTGGCGCTGCCGCATGAGACCAAGGAGTCGTTTGAGCAGTGCTTGGATGCCACCCGCCAACTTGCTGCCTTGGCTCGCGAGATTGGTCTGGATCTTCACCTTCTTCTGCATGAGGAGGGCCGCAGTGAGCCGTTCACGCACCGCGAGATCCAAGATACAATTGCCAAGGCCACCGTTAAGGTCGCTATGTCGAGCGAGTCCGATCTGTTCTCCACCTACTTGTCTAGACTTCGCACCCTTACAAGTCAAATCTCTGACTTGGCTGCACTCAGCACGGACTTGTCGCAGACTCAGGAGTTCGACGTCACTCCCGCGCCATGGAAGCTCCGGTCCCTGGAGCTCAAGGCCATCAAGACGATCCCCGTCGACGCTGAGGAGGAAATGCGCCGCCTTAAGGAGGAGCACAATGAGGCCCGCAGGGCTATTGCGCAGCGCGAGGAGACCCTCAGCACGGCGAACCTCAAGATCGAGACCCTCGAGTCCCGTATGAAGGATGCTAATGCCAAAGCCTCTCGTATCGAGGATCTCGAGGCCCAAATCGAGGCCGCCAAGCAAAAGGCCGCCAGTCTTGCGGAGGACATTGACAAGCAGGATCGCGAGCTTAAGACTTTGGAGACGGACCGCGACAAATGGAAGAAAATTGCTGGCGACAGCAAGGCCTTCGCAGACGGTGCCGGTGCGGCGGGTGCCAAGGCCGGACAGGAGCGTGCCGTCGCCACGGCTCGGGAGATGGACGCTCTCAAGAGCGACATTGCAAGCCTGCAAGCCGCCGTGCGCTATCTTCGCGAGGACAATAGACGTGCCAGGACGACAGAGCAGCACAACTACGATTGGCTGGCCGAGCCACTCACAAAAGCCCCATCGGTCGTCGAGCAGCGTCGTGCCTTGGTCATGGCCGAGGGCAAGGACGTGCTCAGCGAACTAGTCAAGTTCACAACATCTGCAAAGGTGTACGATCTGGGTACTTTGCCAGAAGACAAGCTGGCTTGGAAGCCGGCGCGCAGTACCCCGCAGTACCATGCGGCCAAGCAGAAGGAGGACCTCGCGGCGTGGAAGAGCTGGCGGGACTCGGTGCTGAAGAAGTCGGAGGTGGTACTGGGCCGCAAGGATGCCGCGGCGGAGAAGAAGCAAATGATGAGAAGCGTGGCGGCGAGGCTGCAGATTCGTCTGCCGGACGCGGACGGCAAGATGGTGCCCGGCGGCGGGCGAGATGTGCAAATTGTTGGATCACGCGAGTGGGAAGGATTGCAGGGCCGCTTGGCGGCAGTATGATTATCATGCAATGATGCTCGGTGGTAGTAGGACCAGTGGCTAGATATACCCCCCCATCCTTATGCTCAGCATCTATCTCTTTTTCCACACGCTTTGTACGATGTTTTTGTCGGTGAAATGTATGTGTCCCCGTCCGTGATATCGTCATGATTCGTGGTCCCGGTTTATCCTCATGATATGCATGTCTAGAAAAATGGCACCTTTTTTTTTGTCCGAATCTCTCTGTCTCTCTTTCTCTCTCTCTCTCTCTCTCGCTCGAAGATCTTGGGGGCGGCCCCTATCAAGCTTTGCCTTTGCCCTTCTTCTTCTTCGACGCCTTCTCCTCCGCACCAATGCCACCGCCACCACCCGCGGCCTGTCCCATCAATGCCGCCATCGGGTCTCCTCCGCCCTGCATCTCCTTCATCATGTCCTTGAACAGGTTCTCGCTGACGCCGCCGCCCGTCATGGCGGGGCTGAAGTACGGCAACAGGTCGCCCATCTTCCAGCCGCGGGGGACGGCCGGCTTGGGCCACGGCTTGCCCGGGTCGGGCGCGGGGGCGCCCTGCACGCGGGCCTTGAGCGCGGCGCTGTTCTCCGTCGTGGGGTTCTCCTTCAGGTGCTTCGCGACGAGGATGTAGAGGTGGTGCTTGTTCTTGATGTCGGGCATGCCGGGAGGCTTCGCGTTGGGCGACGCCTTGCCGCCGTCCTTGCCGCGCCCGGCCTCCCCGCCGAAGCGTATCCTGATCTTGACGCGGCCCGGGTTCGCCCAGTCCTTGGGGTGGAACTTTGCCGGCTCGAAGAGCGTCGGCAGGCGCAGCGCCGCGCACGCGTTGACGATCTCGCGGGCGATGGGGTTCATGACGGCCAGCTCGCGGGGCACGCGGCGGCCCTCGGTGCGGGTACGGCGCGCGTCAAAGTAGATCGGGTACAGGCACTGGAAGTCGGCGTACTGCTTCGGGTCGTTGGTCGTCTGGAACTCGGACGACCCTGCGCCGGCGCGCGGGGCGGCGTTGGCCGCCGACGGGATGTTGGCGGGGTTGATGCGCGAGGCGGCGGCGGCTGCTGCTTGGGCAGCCGAGGTGGAGGAGGGCTTGGGTTCGACTCGTCGCATAATGTCCATGTCGTTGAACTCTTCAATGTCGCCCTCGGAGGGGTCCGAGTTCTCGAGGTCGCTGTCCTCCACCTCTTCTACCCGTGGGTGTGACATTTTATTGGAGTGTTAATCTGGTAATGGAGTGCGTGTGGCTTGGCTTTGCGATGCAGTCGTGTGCCTCTTGACGGGGGGCGGGCGTCGTTGTCGTCGTCGTGGGGTGTTGGTGGTGTAGGTTGAATCTGGGAGGTGAGGATACAGTTGTCGATTGGGAAAGCGGCTCTACTAGTCCCCTCTGGGATTTTGCATGGCAAACGTGTGTGGGGTTGGGAAACGACGGTTCGCCGTGGTGGGGGAAAATGACACTGCGGGGCCCACCGTGGCGGCCAGGGTTCACCTCAAGAGCTGGACGTGCGTGCTAAAGCGGGACAGCTTGTCGGAACGTCATCTCATAACGATGTTCAAGAACGGCTTCACCCCAAAACATGGGATGGGGGCGTCACAAAGAGCAACGGTTTTAGAAAATAATATTGCATTAGCCGCAAGAAGAAGAATATTCCGACATTTTGCCAGTGGTTCGTCCATCTACGAACACACACTACACCCCAGCTATCTATCTATCCCGGTTGCGTCCCATGTGCAACCAGACCAGAGCATAAATCTGCATCTCCCAAAGTAAACTGTCCTTCCTCCTCGAGAACGATCTTTCGATTTCTAGTTCTCGTGGATCTTGGAATTCTTGAATTTCGTACCAGGGGGGTGGTCAGTAATGCGGAACTTGCAAAATGGATGGGCGCAAGTATTGCCGACCACGCTGGGGCACTGAGGAATAGTGAGCAATGGACTCTTCCAAGAAGAAAAACACAGGATGCAACTTACGTGATGTCCATAAATGCAGTTTTCGACGTCGCACTCCTGACCACTGGTGCAGGGGTTCAGACGGGTCAAATGAGCAATGGCATTGATTTCGTCTGCGTTAGGACGATACTTGTGCTCAAAGCAGCATTCGTCACCCTTGGCGCAGGGTCCACGGAGGTAGTGGTTGTTGCATAGCTTTGCGGCTCCAGTCCGTTTCTTGATGTTCTCCAGAGCTGACTGGTTAATGGGGATCGGGGGATCAATCCCGCGCTCGCCAGGATTCCATGTTGGAGTTTGCGGTTTCGGCTGAGAGGCCGTCCGAATTGGGATGTTGACGTTTTTGTTGGCTAACGGGGTTGTGATTTGAGGAGGTGGGCTCGCTTTGGTGACGCCGGCCCAGGAAGAAGATGAGGGCGTAGTGGCGGAGGCTGGCGAAGAAACTGCAAGAGTTGGCGACGTGGTTGTCGATTTGAAGTAGGTGGATTCAGCCGAGCGATCGCCACTTCGGTCAACGAGTTTTTGGTTTCGGAAAAGGCTGGGGAGAGGGTCCAGAATGTGGACATTGGTATTTTTCAGCTCTCTGACCGTTGCAAAGCCCTCAATAAGGCTCACTCTCGCGCGGGTATCCGCATCCTGAAGGATCTCGTCAAGGAACGGGGCGTATCCTGCGTCGTGGGAGATGCCCAGCAAAATCTGTCTGCAATTGTAGTTTCTCAAATGCCATCGCGTAGCCTCTGCATAAGGTAATCGAGTCAGCAACTGGCCAAGCACAACGAGGCTGCCCAACCGGGGCTGATATCTTGGGTCGCGTGACCTGCCGAATAACCATCCCAGAGCCGGCAGCATCGCGGGAAACGTACCTTTGATTTTCGAGTCGGCACGTTCCTTACCGTGACCGACGTCTATGAAATCAAATGAAGCTTTAGCTTGTGTAAAGCCTAACGAAAACTCCTTGAGTTCGGACTCGCTATCCAAGCAGCCGTCACGGCGCATGGCTCTTGCGAGGCCCGACATGTTTGCGCAAACTTTGGCAATAATCTCAACTTCGCCGGATTGGCTGCCAACGTATTCGGCGACGGCGGATCGAAGGGCGTAGGCTGCTTGCTTGCCACCCTCGATACCTTGCTTGATGTATGTTTCTTGGAACTGGATGGCTCGAGTCAGCCTTTGATCAAAATACCAGGATTGAGACCGAGGTTCCACGTACAAGGAGGCCATCGCCGTCAATAAGTATCAAGACGTAGGGATTGCGGTTCTACAAAGTTCAGCAACTCTGAGCCTCCAAAACAGGCTGCTGTCCAGCAACCGGTGGTGCCTCTGTTTACCTTGAGATAGTTGTTATCTGACTCAAGGCCCGACAGCGTCTGCTGCATCTCTCTTCTCGAAATGGTGGCATGGTCAAGATCGAGCTCAGCGTTGCGCAGCTTCTGCTTGAGGATTCTGTTTTCTTCTCCAATTGTACGCTCAATCTCTTTGGCATATATCAAAAGGTCCTGTGGAAGAAAGAGACGATTAGCTCAAGGAAGCATTTCATCTGGCATTCCGAACTCTAACTCTATGCGAAAAAGTGAAATTCCAGCAGGAACGGAGCGGTGGTTCATCTCGTCGCGCATCGCACGCAAATGGTAATGGGGCGGGGCAGAGACGATGAGGTGAGACACCAAGCAGGCGAGGCATTGTACAGCGCGAAGCCTCCCCAGAGAGCCACGGCGATATGTACCAGACAGGGCCGGATTGGGCTGAGCTACCTATGTCGATGGAGCTGTCCGGGGAAGAGCAAATAAGGTATGCTTTGCAGCGGCGGGCATGGGTTTGGAATGGAGCTTTGGTCTCTCTGCAGACCAGAAGGAAGCTTAAAGGAAGCCCCATTTGAAGGGTAGGAAACGGGAAGGAAGACTCGAACAGGGGGTGAAAGGGAAAAGCGAACCCACCTTCATCAACTGGTCGCTGGCAGCTTGATAACCCTGTAAGGTTTGATAACGGCCGACAAAGTCCATGATTTCGGAGCTCATTGCGACGGGCTTCGCTCTCTCCATGCTCTTGAGGCCGATAGCAGATGGGAAGCGAACGTTGACACCGGGCGGAGAGGAAAGGGAAGGCAAGGGGGACTGGCTCGTAAGAAGGTAGGGAGCAGCAGGGGTTGTATTGGCGTTGGTAGAGAAGGTGGAAGAGGTGGTGGTGGTGCTGCTTTTGGTCGACATTTGGATTGAGAGACTGGGGCTGGGTGTGACCCGGCCGATGCTGCAGGTGCAGGTAGGTAGATAGGTGGGTGTGGGTGCAGGCGATGTGAGGTGAGGAAAGGAAAGGCAAGGTATCGATGGTAAGGCAGCAAGCAGCAGGTGAGGGTGGACTTGTTGTGCACAAGTGACTGCAAGAGGGTAGACAACAGGGACGGGATGTCTGCAGTTGCTATTGGTGCTTAGGGGAGACGACACAGGCAATAGAATAAAGTACCGTGCCTGTGCTTGGGTCGCGTTTGGTATCACCAGCCGCCCAAGGCAGATTCAGGGTCGGGGAAGGTAAGATAGGTTACTGGGAGACTGAGGTAAGGTAGGTGTGGGAGGTATGCCTGCTGTCTGTAGGTAGGTACCTAAGGTAGGTAAGGTCGAGGTGCGTTGCGCCTGCCTGCCTTGTCCTCTTCTTATTCGACCAAATGAACCTAAATACGGTAATTTGCTCTGTGGAAGGTTGTTCCTGCTGCAAGGAAAGAGAAGCAAGCGTGCGGTTCGTGTGTTGATCAGGCTTGCGCGAGTGGCAGCAAGAGCGGCGAAAGTCAGGTAGGAGATGGAAAAAGTTTTATCTGGCTGACCGCGACTCTTCAAAGCAAATAAAAAAAATAAAAATAAAAATAAAAATCGTGCGTTCAGCTAATTAAAGGTGACGTGCCTTTGCAAAGAGAGACCGCGCGATGCAGCAAGGACGGGGGACGATAGGTGACCAATTCGAACTTGGATCGCCAAAGGATGCAAAGGGAAAGACGAAGGAAGAAAGGTTAAGGTAAGGTAGGTAGAGTGGTGATGATGCTTGCGCAGGGCTGGATTTGGCTGGGGCTGGAATGCGATGCGATGCGATATGCGATGCGATGCGACCAAGGCGTTCCGAGTCGGACAAGCTAACGTAGTCAGGACCTTCACCTCAAGCTAATGCGAGGTTGGTGAAAGTAGCGATGGAGGCGAGCGCGATCTAATGTGGACAGCAAGAATGCCTCGAGGCAAGGAGAGTGTAAGATAGTTAAGTGACACGCTGCGAGGCGACGCAAGGCGGTGGTGCAGCAGCGGTGGGAGGTAATGGATGTATGTATGTATGTCTGAGATTGCGAGACCAGGGCTGGGCTGGTCAACGACAAAACCGGTGAATAATTAACGGCCAGACTGAAAAGGCAACCTCGATGAATATCGAACTGGCTTGGTCCAACGTAGGGCGTGTGTCTCGCAGCCGTGCTGTGTGAACGTCCCCGGCGTCCTCGAATTTATAGGAAACGACCCCTGGTCATGCGAATGGTCCAACAACTGTCTATTCAACATGCAGATTTCTGTTTCCTGCTTTCTGTTTCTTGCTTAGACGCGCAGAGGAGACAGAAAGGCATGCAGAAAGGCATGCAGAAAGAGGGAGAGAGGGAGAGAGAAAGAAAGAAAGCGGTGAGCCAGAAGCAACCTGCATCTGATTTCCTGCTGGGTCCCGGTACAAATTTTCTGGATGGAGACTGCTGATGGTTGTCTCTGCGATCGAAGCTGGGGAAAAGGATTTACGGATGGAAGCGATTGCGGGAAAAGGAAAAAGCAATTGTGTGATAAGACGTCAGACACGCCACGACGCGTCCATTGGCGTAGATTGATTTCTTTTCCTCCCCTGGCAGCTTGGTTGGGGGGGGGGGGGAAGAAATTCAAAAACTTTATGCGATGAAAAAATTGCCCACCTGTCGTCTCACTTTCTCGGATACGAGTCCGCCCAGTCTTGTCGTCGCTCCCGTCTTTCCTGGGCTAGGTACGGATACCTCGCCTTATTACACTGCGGGTATCCCTGTCACCAACCAACATGATGTTCCATTCACAAGACAAAATAATCAAGTATCGATTTGAGGGCATTTTCTTGTTTTGAGTAATAAATCTTTGTAGATTGTTTCCCTCTCATCCCTTTTGGACGCCCGTCCTCAATCTCGCATCGTTGCTATCTCTCCTCCTAAAGTGACCAAATAGGATCGATTGCACTTTGTGAACATGGCGTTTGCAAATGCACATCTGGTCCTGGAACCGGCAAGC